CATACCAGCGTCTCGTGGAACTCCTGCCGGTCGTTCATGTCGTCCACCTTGTAGGACGCCGACTGGTTGAGGTAGTAATAATAATCCGGGCTGGTGATGCCCAGGTTCTCCCGCTGCTCCGGGGAGGCGCCCTCCAGCAGCTGGGCAGGGAGAGAGGACAGAGCGGGGGGGTCACGCGCTGGCGGCGGGGGGGGGGCTGGGCTCAGCGCAGACCCTGCCCTCCCATCCCGGCCCCCCCACGCACCTGGTAGTAGATGTGGAAGCTCCTCTCGCCGGGGTTCTGGCTCACCACCCGCGACTTCTCCAGCAGGAAGTTGGAGATCTTGCCCCCGTCGGGCTCCCCGCCCCGGCTGAACTGGATCTCGAAGTACTTGCCCTGGGGCGGGAGGAGAGGCCAGATGAGCCGGATCCCCGGGCTAGGTCCCCGCAGCAGAATCGCCAGAGCATCCCCCGCCCGGGATGTGCTCGAGACCCCGGAGCCTAACGGGCAAAGGGTCCATCTGGCCTCCTCCCCCTCTGAGCAGGGTCTGGTGGTCAAGCCAACTCCTGGGAGCCAGGACTCCTGGGTTCTGTCCCCAGCTCTGGGAGGAGAGTGGGAGCTAGTGGGTTGGGGGAGGCTGGGAGTCAGGACTCCTGGGTTCTGTTCCCAGCTCTGGGAGGAGAGTGGTGTCTAATGGGTAGAACAGAGATCTGGGAGCCAGGACTCCTGGGTTCTAGTCCCCAGCTTTGGTAGCAGAGTAGGGTCTAGCGGCTATTGCAGGAGGAGACTGGGAGCCCGACATCTGGGCTCTACTCCCAGCTCTGCCACTGACGCATTGTAACAGGTCCCTTTCCCGCTCTGTGCCTCAGTTTCCCCTTCAGTAAAGTGCAGCTAATGGCCCTAAGCTGCAGGGAGGGGTTGCGAGGCTGAGTTGGTGCGTGGCTGTGAAGCGCTCAGCGATGACCAGCGGGCAGGGGTCAGAGGGCAGGCTGGGACTGGCAAAGCCCCTGGGAGCCGGGCACTCACGAAGCGGCTGGAGTTATTGTTGCGAACGGTCTTGGCGTTTCCAAAGGCCTCCAGGAGCGGGTTGGATTTCAGGATGATGTCCTTGACGTGCTGGGGGGAAGCAGGGTGCTCGTTACATGAGGCCATCGGCTCCGGTCCTGCAGGAACCCCCACTCCTACTGCTCCCAGCCAGCCCAGGCTCCCGGCCCCACACCGCTTCCCTGCTGCCGTCATGCCCTGTGGTACCTGCACTTTGGGGCCCCCGCCGGACACCTTGGAGATGTAGCTCATGATGTATTTGGCCGCCACGGTCTTGCCAGCGCCGCTCTCCCCACTGCAAGAGAGAAAGGCAAACGCTGGCTTCTCCACCCCGCAAGGGAGGACACCCCACCCTAGCCCAGCCCCTTCTGGAGGTCAGGGAGCCTGGGAGGAGAAGCTGGTTCGTTGCATCTACGTTTTCCTGTCCTGCTCGAAGCCAGACAGCGACTCTCCTTTAAAGGAGGCAGGATGGCCCAGTGGTCAGGGCACCACTGCTCCGTCAGTCCCTTAGCCTCTCGGTTCCTCAGTTCCCCATCTGTAGCCTGGGGGGGGAACAGCCTTGCCCCACAGGGGGGGTTACTAGGATAAATACAGTAATGACTGGGAGTTGCTCAGGTGCTCTGGTAACTAGCCAGAGACAGAGTCTTCTCCCGGAACGTGGGTGAGGAGGGTGGGTGTCGGGACCTGCCCCAGCAGCCATCAGCTCCTGTCCGGCGTCCATACCCACCCTGCCAGGGCTGGCAGCAGGGACTGCAGGACCGTGCCTCAGTAAAATGTAGAGACCGACGCTAGGTTGTCATGGGGGGAGGGGGGAGGGAGGGGCTCTCCCAGAAGTCTCTGCCATTGTGCTGGAGGACTACGGCCAGCCAGACACAGAGCCCCCGGTGTGTGACCCGGGCACCAGGAAAGGTCTTAGAGCTAGAACTTGGCACATGCCCAGATGTGGACCCTGCGTCTGTCCCCCTCCCCTTCCGGGCTCCAGATGTGGACCCTGCTTCTGCCCCTTCCCTCTTGCCCCAGTGGATTCTGCCCCTGTTCTCGGCCCCGCCCTACCTGATGATGACGCACTGGTTCTCCCCGTCGATCAGCATGTTGCGGTACATGTTATCGGCCAGGGCATAGATGTGGGGCGGGTTCTCGTACTGGGCCTGCAACCAACACACCGGCAGGAGACTTGGTTATTCCACCGCACGGGACGTTTGTACATAGGGAGGTGGCAGGGGAGGAGATGTGGCTAGGCTGGGACCCCTTCAACTCATTGCACTGGTGAGCCAAGCCAGGAGGCGACCCCAGCTCTCTAGTTATTTGTCTCGGGTGGCACTGGGGAGCCCAATTCTGGGATCCCTGTGGTGGTGGGGGGCTGTACAAACACAACGAGCACAGTTCCTGCCCCAAAGAACTTACAATCCATGTCAGAGCTCCAGCGACCTTTGGTTCCCTTCGTTCCACCCGCTCTGGTGAGCGCTTGGCAAACAAGGGGACACAGTGACCGTGAAATGACACAGGGCTTTGGGGGCAGAGGACGAGGTCTCCCAAATCATGCTACCCCCTTGCCTTCCTCCCAAGGATCTCAAAGCACTTCACAGACCTTAATTAACCCTTGCAGGGAGGGTAGATCAGTGCCACCCCTATTTCACGGATGGGGAAACTGAGGCCCGGAGCAGGGAAATGACTTGCACAAGGTCAGCGGCTGAGCTGGGAAGAGAACCCAGGAGTCCTGTGTCAGCCTCCCTGCACATCCCTAGGCCAGCCTAGACCCCTGCGTCCCCGGAAACAGCCTTGATGGGAACTAGTGGGCTGATCTAGCCAGATCTCCCCGGACCTCTTGCAAAGCCATTGCTTAGATCTCCGTCTCAGTGCCCCCACAGCTACGCCAGGGGATAGCTCCCGCCACGGATCCGCCCACAGATCTCGAGCCCCGAGCCGCACCCCTGGAGAGACGCCAGCAGATGAGGGGCGTGGTGGGCGCACGGTCCCCTTGCACGGCTCAGCACACTGCCTCTACCGGCGCCCCAGTTCCCTAGGACAGCGACAAGGCTGCTGGGTTTTCAGGAGGGGAATCGGGAACTGCGGTGAACACAGGCGGCTGCTGCTGAGACAGCAAAGAAACCAAGCACCCGGATGCCTCCTTGGGACAGGAACAAATCTGTACAGACACATGCCTAGAACCCCGACCAGGGATATTCTATTTGCTACCCAAGATCCATAAACCTGGAAATCCTGGACGC